ACACAGAGTCACTGTACCAAAATGAAATGGTTAATGTTCAACCATTTCAAGAGGAAGCCTACGATTAAGAACAAAAGGTACTTACTAAAGGAAGAAACTCAACAAGTAATGATCCCAAATTTGCAGAGGCTTTACAAAAAGTGCACTTAGTATTTGTTTACACAACTAAATATAATGCGTAATTACAAAAAAAAAAAGGCTTTGAAATTATAATGCCTGCAATTACAATTCAAAATGTATTGTGCTATCCCATCACTGGGCAGATGTAGTATTTGTAACCTTTCAACTGAATTAAGCGTGCATGAAATGCTGAGTTACTCAAGAAGCTGTAATAACTATGGTTATACTTGCTGTTAAGTGCCGCTCAGTCGGTTCTGACCCCTAGCAACACTGTATGGGGCTTCCAAGGAGCAGCTGGTGAGGATGAACTACCGACCTTGTGGTCAAACCAACACTGCAATCTAACGCATTAACCCACAGCGCCTATTCTACACTAAGCTGCTCATGACTTCATTTAATATTATGGGGGAATGGCCCTGCAGGAGAGGATAATGAAAGGACCGCAGGCTTGGGAGAAAGGTTGTACATTTCAGTCCCTAACATGGAAAATTAGTTATTTAACTATGGGGAAATCACGTCTGTTTCCAACTGTCTACAGTGGGGTGGGATTGAGTTAGGTAATGTGGTCTGATTCTTTCCAGGATTCAATGCTTCCAGAATAATAATAAATAGGTGTTCCAAATAGTCAGAAGCCAGGAGAGAGGCTTAAGCATGTTTGATCAAGTTCAGATTGAAGAAGTTGGTAGAATTCTTCTGTTTCATTCTCACTGGCTTTAGTGGTTGGTGCGTAAATTTGAATAGTGGTAGTAACTGGGCTTCCCTGTAGGTACATGGATATTATCCTATCACAGACAGCATTGTATCTCATGACAGATCTTGATACGTTCTTTTTGACGATGAATTAAACACCACTGCTCTTCATTTTGTCATTCCCAGCATAGTAAACCTGATTCAAAATGGCCAATACCAGATACAAAAAGCTCACTAATGCCTAAGATATCGATGTTTATGCGTTCCATTTCATTTTTGACAATTTCCAATATTCTAGATTCACACTTCTTACATTCCATGTTCCAATTATTAATAGATGTTCACAGCTGTTTCTCTTCATTTTGAGTTGTGCCCCATCAGCAAATGAAGATCTCATGGGATTTATTCTCATGGGCTTTACTCCATTCATGTCATCACGGTCAACTCTACTTTGAGGAGGCAGCTCTTCCCCAGTCACATTTTGAGTGCCTTCCAATCTGAGGGGTTCATTTTCTGGCACTATATCCGACAGTGTTTCTCTGATATTCATAAGATTTTCAGTGACTAAATATTCGGGAGTAGTTTGTCTCTCCTTCTTCCTCGTCTGTGTTCATCTGGATGCTCATCTGAAACCTGTCCACATCTGAAACTTGAGTGACCCTGCTGGTATTTAAAATACCCATGGCATAGCTTCCAGAATCATAGCAACTCACAAGCCACCACAGTACGACAAATTGACAGAAGAGTGGTGGAAAATGCCAACATACACATGAATATAAGTGGTATGTCCCTAAATTGTCTCTTAGCTGTGGACATGTTTACTAATGTCATTATTACCAAACATCTTGCAAACTTCTGATTTGAGATTTTCTTTGGGGATACACCAAGTGAAAGTAGGTAAATAGAGCAAGAAAGAAACTTAGCACCACCTGTTCCAAACACCCCTCACTGTCACATCACACCTTGTGGAGCACCCCGTGGAGTGGATGACTAGTCTCGCTCAGCTTCAGTATTTCCTTATTAGTTCAAGTGACAATATGGAAACAGGAAGCAAACAAAGTCTAAACTTTCAAAATTCATGTCTCGTTTTGGTATCAGTACAGGTAGAGCTCCGCTAATAGTGAAGTTCAGTCCCCTTTTTCCAGGTTAGCTAAAAATGCACCCATAACAAGGTGCATAAATGCTAATGACTTAGGACCAAGCGATACCTAACACTCAGGTGTAGACTATGGATAAGGAGCGAGGAAGGCCAAGAGGGTATTTGCACATGGGTATTTACCTTTGCTGCAAACACACCTATGAATGTGGTGGATAGAGCACACAGGGGGCAAAATGATGAAGACTTCTTAGATGTTACCGAACAGCTGAAGGCAATGAGATGATGGATTGGGGCTTAGGACCATAGTCTCAGAGCACACCATGGTCATGGACAATTGGCATCACACAGTCTATAAAGACAATGCTCTACATTCTGCTTGGGTGAGGAGTATCTGGGGTCTTAACAGCTCATAAGCAATCATTTAAGGTACAGCTATGGGTCTCTCCATGTGTGGAAGACAGAAAAGTGATGAGAACTGAAGACACTTGGAACCAATTAGTCTAACAGACTAATAGAACATGTGAACACCAGTTTCCATGACTCTGAGACCAGAAGAACCAGATGGTGCCTGGCGACCACTACCAATTGCTCTGAAAAGGATCATATTAGAGGGTTCCAAATTGAGTGATATAAAATGTGGAACTAAAAAAACAAATAATAAAATCAGTCTTCCCGATCAGAAAGAGTCTGGAGGAACCCGAGACTATGACCCTTGACTACCTTTCAGGTCTGGAAAGGAACTCAGCCCAATTTTCAGCCAAGTAGTAAAAAGGCTTAATGAAGGTGACAACAACCCTTGCACGGTATTACCATGAGAAGGTCAATTACTCAAAATCACAAGGGTAACATGTAACCTAAGGACAGAGTTCAGAAGGGATAGAGGTGGGTGGAATGGAAGTAGGAATCTCAGAGAGGAAGTGGGATCACTGTGCTGCAAGGAGGGGATTGCAATTATTGATATGAAACAAAGTGTGTGATTTGTTGAAGGTCCAAGTATGTTCATGACCCAATTTTGTAATGAAACCTAATGAGGGCACCGGACATGCCTTAAGTAGACACGTCAATCATGGCGCTCCCCACTCTAAGGGATTCACAAGGAGACAGCTTTATTCATCATCCTCCTCCACATTTTCTGGGCAACTTTAGGGGGACCCTTTGTACCATCCAACTTCCCTTTAGACTTAAGAGTCGGCCACATCCTTCTCGTACTTTTCCTTTGGTGTTGTCGCCTTGTTGATGTGAGACGGCTTCTCAGTCACTCAAGTTATCCCACATCTCACCCAGCTTTCTGGCCACATCACCAATCGAGATGCCAGGGTCCGTGGACTTGATCTTGGGGTAAAATTCGGAACAGAACAGGAAGAATCCAGACAGTGGTCACTTGGGGGCACTGGGACCCTTCTTCTTGCCTCCCTTAGCTGGCCCATAATCCTTTATTTCCTGATCATAACGTACTTTGTCCGCTTTTGCCATCTCATCAAATTTAGATTTCTCTTTCCCAGACAAAGTCTTCCACCTCTCAGAGCACTTCTTGGAAAAGTCAGCAAAATTGACAGGGATCTCTGCGTTTTTTTTTTATGTTCCTCTCTGCAGGCCCGCACTTGGGGTTACCTTTATCCATCCTGACTCTATTGTTTGGAGTCTGGGCAGTGCAGGGCACGACTCAGTTGTCAGCTTTACACTCGGGTAGAGTTTAAATTTGAAAGTTGCATCTTATAACTTCCAGATACTATGCTAATAAAGACCATACAGGAATAATCAGTATAGTTGTGAGATTATCATTAAATCTCCATAAAACAGTTCATTTGCTGCTGAAAAGTAAACAGATACACACAGAAAGCAAGACATATGTGTACATATGCACATGTGTGTGTTAGACTATGCTGCCCCTTTGTAAGACAGCATGCTTATGTTTGGTATCATGTTCTACATCTGATCATGAGGCTTGTTCAGGATTGAAAATGACAAACCAACCTTTTAGCTTCTGGTTTTCCTTCTCCATTCTCAGGAGCAGTATCTGCTGCAGAATAGCTTTCTTCCACAGATCTCGGAGCTCGCGAGAGGTCCTTTTCTTTTCCTCTGGAGCAGGGCCAAAGGGCCCATCTTCACAAACTGTTTCTAAAGGAGACCGTGGGGGAAGTTCTCCCAGTTCTGAATAATCTGGAGAGGGAAGAAGACATTTTTCATTAATTGATATTCAAACATGGTGCCAAATCAGCAGACTACTCATTTCAATAGACCGATACTACCAAACTTAAAAATCGTGCTTTATTAGACAGGAATAAATTATGTGTGAGTCACAAAGACAAAACTTACATACACACAATATATTGGATATGAGAAAATAGTAACAAGATACCTACCTTTTAAGGTGGAGTACTGGTGTGGTGTTAATGCACTGGACTACAAGGTCGGCAGTTCAAGCTCACCAGCCGCTCCTTGCAACTCTATACAGGGTTGCTATGGGTCGGAACTGACTCAAAGGCACTTAACAACCACCACCACCACCTTTTAAGGTATAATGTTTTTATATTTGAACTTAAAACCACGTTGTTGATAGTAGCATCAAGCATTCATATTATGTTCACTATGTGCTAGACAGTTCTAAGGGCTTTGTGTTTAGTCAATTTCTTTGGCACAACAGTAACTACTGTTATTGGTACTGTAACTATTCACATTTCAAATGGAGGCAAAGGGATCTTAAGTAACTTACACAATGCCACACAGCTGGAAAGGAGTAGAGCCTCATTGGGGGCTCTACAGAAATCCAGTCATTTCTGACTCACAGTGACTTTGTATAGGGGGTTCTGGAGAGTGCTTGGTAGATCTGAACCATGTTTATCCTACAGCACCAGCACCACACCAAGACTCCAGCTCCATGCATAATGAAACTAAATGCTGCCCGGTCCTATGCCATCCCCGTGATTGGTTATGGACTGGATCCCTGTGATCCATAGGGCTTTCATAGTAAAAGAAACAATCTATGAAGGTTACAGGGAGAGGGAGGGAGAATTATTCACAGGCTAGAGGGCAGATACATGTTAACATAGGTGACAAGGCAGGTAATATACAACAAGAGGTTGGTTGGCAGAGGAAAGATGAAGGTCACGGGAGAGATGGGAAGCAATGTATTAGTTTTAAGGTGAACAGAGGTAAATGCTGTTAGCTGTTGGTAATGGAAGGGATTGCAGTCAGTGTAATGAAGCCAAGTATATGATTTGCTGAATGCAAAACTGATGATCTGTTCTGTAAACCTTCACTCAATTCACAATAAAAAGTTGAAAGAAAAAAAATTAAGTTGAGCACTAGGTCTTTCTTGCCAGTCTGTCTTAGTCTGGAAGCTCGCTCATACCTGTTGGTATCACAGCAACATGCCAACTTGCACTGATAGACAAATGGGGGGTGTGCGTGAGGCGTACTGGCCATGAGTCAATCCAGGGCTCCTACAAGGAAGATGAGAATGCTAGCCCTGAGCTGTGTGTGGCTAGGTGTCCTGAAAGATGACAAAATGTCTTGGGTAGTCAGTGCTAACAGTGGTCATTAAAGGACTCTCTATCAAGTGGCTGGGCACTGAGCCAGGCATTTTATCTAGACAGATTCAATGAATCCTGACAATGGCAAAAGTCAGGAATTAGCTGTGTTATAAGGAAACCGAGGTCCAGAGAGGCCAGGTCACTTGCCCAGGTTGCAGAGTGAGGAAGTAGGTGAGTTGGGATTCCAGCCTGTGTCTGCCTGCCTTGGAAGCTCATTCACTTTCTGGATACCACCACAATCCAAATGCTTCCTATTACATGTTGTTGTTGTTGTTACATGTCGTGAAGTCGGTTCCAACTCATCTCGACCCTGTACAGGGTTTCTGAGGCTGTAAATCTTTACGGGAGCAGAAAAGTCTCATCTTTCTCCTGCAGAACAGCTGGTAGTTTCAAACTGCTGACCTTGAGGTTTGCAGCCCGATTCGTAACCACGATGCTACCAGAGCTCCTATTACATAGACGTTTACAATTCTATTTATTAGTTTAAATCTCTTTACGTTACATGTACATGCACCTGTTTCCAGTGCATGGAGTATGTTGATGCTGTGCAACACTGTTGTAACCAACAAGTGTTTTTCAGACGTGTCCAGAGAGTACATCCCATTGCTCACCATAAAACTAGCTCTGAGGAGCAGCAGAGGGCCCTGAATAAATCCACCCCAGATGACACAGTGCATCCTTGAGAAAATATGGCTACAGGGAACCTGTGTAAATAAAATCCTTATTTTCACATATGCTGGGAACACCCCGCCTGGGCAGTTTGAGGCTCAGAGCCACCCATAATTCGGTGACGTTTTCATGAAGAACGTTTTCTAACTATGCCCAACAATCTCCTCAGTTCATAGCTCCAATTCAGTCCCGTGTTACACTTCATCTGCATCACACTCGTCAGTGTTGATTGTTCGTAACTTAGAGCTGGATTTGATTTCCTGCCATGAAATCAGATGCGGCCTACAAAATGCTCAACTTCCTAAAGTAACTTGCACTTATTGATGCCAAAGAATATAGGGAATTAACAACTTTTATAAGCAAATCTACATGAATGTTTCAAGATCTTGGTGAGAATTTAAATGCTCATCACCATCTCTTATGCATACTTATTTCATGATGAGCCTATTAAACACAGGAATACATTACAATTGCACTTCTTGGGGGGAGGTAAGTAAGAAACAATGACAGTTTATGCATATTTTAGGACCATGTTTACACGTATTATTAAACAGAAATAATGAATCAAAGTGGTCTCAGTAATATCTCGGTTTTATAAATAATAAGAGACCACATTGTTTAATGAGTAATAGAAGCTCACTGGAGACACGGTGCCTGGACTATAATCAGGACTCCACAATCTATGGATTTTGTGGTCATCAGCATGTTGCTTAATGTCTCCCAGCCTCAGTCCCAATCTGTCAAGTAAGATAACAGCACCTTCTTCATAGTGGTATTAAAACAACTGAGTTAATATATATCTTTAAAAAAAAAAAAAAACGCTACCACTGAGACAGGGCCTTTCACACAAGAACACAATAAATTTTAGCTCTGAGTGTTTGTTATTATATGTTCACAAAGGGGCAGAGAAAAAAACCCTTGGAAGGAAACGCATTTTAGCCACTCAACTGTAAGCTGTAACATGGCAAGAGCCTGCCGCCGTGTCAGCGAGGGTGTGCCCAGCACTGAGCACGCTTCCTGGCACCCAGAAGGTATGTGAGGATAAATATGGAATAAATAACAAAGCAGGTGCTGGAGATGCTATTTTTTTTTTAATATATCCTGTATTTTCTAATTTCTAGACTGTGAAAAAAATTTTCTATCAAATTAAAAAAGTATTCAAGAAAAATAATGCAAATCTACTCTGATAGCTCTGGCAGTGTAGTGGTTACGAATTGGGCTGCGAACCACAAGGTCAGCAGTTCAAAACTACCAGCTGTTCCGCGGGAGAAAGATGAGGCTTTCTGCTCCCATAAAGATTTACAGCCTTGGAAACCCTGTACAGGGTCTCTATGAGTCAACTCCATGGCACTTAACAACAACTATTCTGATTTTAAACTATTATTGAAAAATATTCTCTACTAAGTCAGCCAATCAACACCGTAGTTGACAGTGGGGTTTTCTCAACCTCAGCACACTATGTTTACCCTTTGGCAGGATGGCTCCTCTTGGTGAGGGACTTCCCTGTGTACTGAGGGGTGCTCAGCAACATCTCTCACCTCTACCTCACATCTGGCCGACCTTGTCACAATGATCAAAAATGCCTCCACTGCTTGCACGTCTCATGGTGGGGGAATCACCTCCACTCACAAATTCATGATTCATAGTAAAAATTTCATCACTGACTTCTATTAGAAACCCTCACACGTGTGGGTATTGAATTGCCTCTCACTCATGGTGAGCTTATGGGTTATAGGGGAGAACTGCTCTTCAGGCTGTAGTCTTTACTGAAGATGGCAGGCCTTTCTTATTTGGGGGCGGGGGGAACGACTCAAACTGCCAACTTTTAGGCCAGTAGTCAAGTACAAACAGGGACCTTCCCTAAACCATGGAAAGGAGTGAAAACTAAAACTACTTGACTCAAATTGACTTCATGTGGTAACAATTGCTGATTTTCTAGGTGACAAGGCACAACAAATTATAAAAATGATTATCTTTTGTCCATATTAAGAGCAGCCTAGTTACTGGAGTCATGATGTGGTGCTTAGGATAGGTACTGGATTACTAACCACAAAGTCAGCAGTTCAAATCCACTAGCTACTCTGGAAACCCTACGTAGGGTTGCTATGAGTCGGATTAACTCCAGGTCTTTGCACATTATATAACTGGAGTTAGAAAACCAAAAGGGAAAAACACGCTTTGCATTTCTCAAGCTGAGGGAACTGAAGAAAAAATTCAAAACTTGACTTGTGGTATTAAAGGATTCTATGGTAGTCCTAATGTGGCACTGTGGGCTAATGCGTCAGACTGCAAAGTCATTTGAACTTCAAGGTCGGTGGTACATGTTCACCAGCTGCACCTAGGGAAAACTATACTGGGTCGCTATGAGTCAGAGTCGACTCGACGGCACTTAACAACAAGACACAGGCAGATTATTGAATGATACAGAAAGCATTAAAAGAAGGTGGAAGGAAGACACAGAGTCACTGTACCAAAAGGAAATGGTCAATACTCAACCATTTCAATAGACAGCATATGATCAAGAGCCAATGATACTGAAGGAGGAAGTCCAAGGTGCACTGAAGGCACTGTCAAACAACAAGGTTACCAGGAATAGATGGAATACAAATTGAAGTATTTCAACAAACTGATGAAGGCACTCCTCATCTCTGCCAAGAAACGTGGAAGACAACTACCTGCAAACTGATTGGAAGAGATCCATATTTGTGCCCATTCCACAAAAAGAGGTGACCAAACGGAATGCAGAAAAGATCGGAAAATATCACTGGTAACTCATGCGAATAGTGTTTTACTATAAGTAACACAAAAATTGCTGCAATCATACATTCATAGAGAACTTTCAGAGGTTCAAGCCAGATGCAGAGGAGTTTGTGAAACGAAGGGTATCACTGCTGATGTCCGATGGATGTTGGTAGAAACCAGAGAATACCAGAAAGATGTTTATTGACTATGCAAAAG